AAAAAGATTTTTCTGCAGAAAAAAAGCAACAAATTTGTTCATTTTTACGGTTTGGGTTCGTGACATGGAGAAGAACCCTGGAGAAGGTAAGGAAAGAGGGAGTTCAGACATTAGCGTTACAGAAGTTTTTACATGATTACAATTTCGATGCTAAGTCGATTAAGCATATTTTAATGCTACATAATTTCTGTACAGGTCTTTCAAACCTCAAGAGTGACGAGAGACAATATAGTAGAGTGGAGATGAAATTCTGAGCATTTACATTAAAGCTCGCACAGCTGGTTGTCAGGAGACTAAGGGCAATTAGGGCTAAGTGTGCACTCCTAGAGGTTGTTGTCTTAACCGAAGTGAGATTTAGGTAATTCGTTATTCTGGCTTTAATCTAGGAAACATATTCGCCAGTAAAAACTGGAAACCTGACTGACTAGCTGAGGTAACATAGCGTTACATAAGACATATATGCCCAACATATAATCAGCATGTCAGTCGCCGACAAGTGGCTTAAGTAATTTTTTACTGAGTAAGGAAGTACAGTGTAATCGCCAGTTGAAACGCAATATGTGAGCAGCAAATTTACGGTAATATTGCCATCGACTGGTTCTAATGAATGTCACTATCCTCGTCCAAACTCTAAATTTACTACGAACTTGCAAGCTTCCATGAGACTTTTGACATGATGGCCATCTCTTGATTATAGTGTAAGTTTTGTGTGGTTAATAAATCTGAAATGATTCACTTTAAGGCCTCGATTGTCGTTATGCCTGGCTTTTCATATAATAACATTCAACGCGCTTTTTCTTTGCAGTCATCGTAATTCACAGCCATAGAGAACAACTATTTGCGAAAATTTTAGGTTAGACGGTTCATCAGAGGTAGACAGCTGCATTCAGGCGAAAGTAATATCCCGAAAATTTAAAACAATGTGGTCAAAGTTCTTTTGGCTCTGAATGACTACGGAGTATTCCCCCGCATGGAGCGATAATGCAGAGCTCATAAAACTTGCATTCTTTACTAGATGAGAAGTTATAGAAGTAGGTGACCTGTGTAGAAGATAAATTAAGCCACAGCTGCATATCATTGCGATTCACAGTAATCCTCAAAAGTAGGCAGCCTGTTGAGAAGATAACTCAGCCACAGCTGCATATCATTTTGGTTACGGTGATCATCCACCTACTACGTAAATATTATTCTGGTTGTTCTTTATCAGAGCTACCGTGGGTTCGCCTTGAAAAATAAAAGTCAAGCTCAGATGGGATACTGCGTTCGTGTAAGCGGTGATATAATAAATCCTGGCGTCTCTTGCGAAATTCATCATCTAGCAGGCCTCGTTTTGCTTATTCTAAAGTGGATATATGGTAGGAGCAAGACGAGGGCACTCAGTATGTGGTTATGGATGATTGTGATAGCGTTGGTTTGGAATGGAGTGCTGAGGGCTGTGTAATGCAAGCCTCTTCTGGAAATGAGGTATTCTCTTCAAATTCCTAGGAGATTTTCAATGTTACTTTCAACAACACGGCAGATCGTTGCTTTCCAAATCGAATTCGTAATTATCTTAGATTTACCAGAATTCCTCCGCATCGGATTCTCCAGCATTGCCTGCGCAAACAGTTGACGACATTGACCAATTGGCTATTGAGATGGAGACTACATATCTCGAAGATGATTAAGTATCCCTGATCTTTAGCTCTACATTACTTGCCGGTATGCTGAAACCAAAGGGTCCTGCTGTTGCAGAAATCGAGTGAGGGGCCTCATCATTGACGGATGGGATTGTTTTCATAGTGTTTGAGATCGCGAATATCTTCTCTCTTGTTATAATAATGTCTTTCTTCTCCTTATTCTTGCCATTTAATACTTTGTTTGTTTTGTCAAACATATCACAATTGATCTCATGAAAGGGGTATGTTTGCAACAAGTTTGCTGACTAGCTGTTACAAAATATCATATGCAGTACTAATAATGTTGGTCTCAAATGTCTAAGAAAAGATCTCATCATGATATCCTTTGCTTCTTTTTGAAAGTTTGTCTACATTGTTCTTCTGCTCTCTTCCTGATGCAATTGCTGTAGTATGCCACTCATCACTGATTTCTCTAATTATTTTCCACATTCAGTTGATACAGGCACAAAACCATATGAATTGCTCGCCTTTCTCAACTATGTAACTATGTCATCTCAGTAACGTCAGTGTAAATGTTGTGTAGTTCTTTGCTTCGTTACATTCGTTCAAATAAATGTTTAGTAAATTGTTATCATTTCACATTACGTTATAATCGTGTAAATGGTATCACCCAATCAAACATTGTATTGATGCTTATATCATTTCTATTTCTGTTAAAATCTTCCCTCTTCTTTTGTTTCCAGCAAAGGTTGTTGTTTCACTTGCAGTTTTTGTCTAAATACCCTTGAAAGTAATATGTAAAACATAAGCTCCAGCTTCTTTCAGGAAAATAAGTTTGTGGCTTTAATCAGCTAGTCTTATTTTAAAACCTCTAAGCCTCATTGAATAGAAGGAGACTTAAGGCTTAGACTCGCTTTCAAAAATGGAGCTTGTAACTTCTTAATGATATGGCTTCGGTACCAAGTTAAAAACGCCTTGAAATTTTCGTTTTGTACTTTTGCACCTTTTCTAAAGATTCGGTACCAATGTGATAACCTTGTAGTAAAATAATTCCAAGGTTGCTGTAAGTAGAGGCGGATCATTCCGGATTGACTCAAGTAGTTTTTTTTCAGCAGTGAAGCTGACTTTGTCTTTTTCTGACAGCAACTAGACATATTCAACATCGTCTAGCTCTTCGAATCTGTCAGGAGACACTGTTGGAAGTTTAGAAGAGTTATTCTTGTGTTCCTTCAAATGATGACAGTTGAATCGCAGTTCGCACAAATAATTTAGTGCATCCCCATGGGTTACCCATGTAGACTTGCTTACCTCTACTGTTGGCATCTGTTGTCAAGCAATTTGCAATTTGATGCGTAGTTCAAGCCATACATGCGATAGGGTGAAAATTTTGTTCACCCTCCCTTCACCTTGGGACAGGAGGCAGGCTGATCCCGTTCACCTAGGTCAGATGAAAAGGTAGTGCTTTGTTTGAGAAGGTGAAAAAAAAAACGATCTTGTATGCCTATCTGCAGGTCCTCCGCCGAATACAGGGACAGAAGATTGTGAAGGACGATGATAAACTTACATATTAGAAGTTTTTGTATACAATATAATTACGAAAGTAAAGTGCATAATTAAGCTGTTCTCAAAGGAGAATTGTGCTAAAAGGGTGATTTTGATTGC